AGCTATTCATCAGATAAAGGATTAATATCTAGAATATAAAAACGGTTCTAAAAATTAAGGGGGTGGGAAGTAAGGTAGAAAGAGATGGTGAATTTTATTGAAATATATTATATGCATGTATGGAAATATCACAATGAAAGCCACCTGCACCTTTAATATACACTGATAGAAAAAGAAAACAAAGAAAAGACTTGAACAGATATGTAAGTGGCAAATAAGCACATGAAAAGATATTCCTAGCCATTAGGGACATGCAAATTTTAAATCCACAATGAAATTCTGATACATACTTATTACAATGGCTAAGTTAAAAACTACTAACAGCAGTAAGTGCTGTCAGGATGTGAAGCACCTGGTGAGGAGGTGTGAACACCTCCCATTCATCGCTGGTGGGGAAGCAAAATGGGATTGCCACTTTGGAAAATGTTTTGCTAGTTCACTATGAAGTTAAACATGTACGTATGATAGGACGCAGCAATTCCACTCTTGTATATGAAGGATTATGGATGCACCACTTCTAAACAGCAAAATCAACTCAAGTGTCCTTGAATTCCAATGTTTGTTTGAATGGATAAACAAATACTGGTAAAATGGCATATTAATCAGCAATAACAAGGAATGTGCTATTTATATATGTAACAATTTACAGAATCTCAAAAGATTCTCAATTTAAAGAATCAGCTAGCTTACTAACTGAAGGAGCCAGTTTCAGAACACTACTTACTCAAGATTCCCATTATATGACATTCTCAAAAAGATAAAACTATGGTGATAGAGAACAAATCAGCAGGTGCTAGAGGTTTTGGGGTGCAAGACAGAGCAAGTACAAAGTGATGGCAGGAGGGAGCTTGGGGGAGTTATGGAATTGTTTTGTGTCCTAACTGTGGTGGTTATACAAATGTATGCATGTATTAAAATCTCATAGAACTGTAGCCTTATTCCCACTATAGGGTGGTTTGCTGCCTGATAGGGGTCTGAGAGTATTAAGATTGGCAGGCAGAGTGCCCACCTCCCTCCATTCTCTCCCTCTAGTGCAGAAATCAGATCTCCGTTTGCTGCTCCCACTCTCTGATGTACTTGGAGGATACTCCTCAGTTCAAACATTTGTCATGTCTGGGTACACAGACTGGACACCTTTGGATCTTTTAGGAACCTGCCTAGCCTATGGGCCACAAAGGTCATCAGAGCCAGCAGTGGCTCCCAGCAAGCAAAGAAGAGAAAACACTGAACTAAATGCACCCTTGATGCTGAAAACATAGCCAGGACCAGCCAGCCCTATGCCTGCATACTGCACCAACCTTCACAGTGGGAACAGAGAGGAACTACAAGAGAACCCGCTATTCCCGCCCGAGACCTGGTGGATTCTAATATTAGAAGACCCAAAAGAAACTTTGCCAATTTCTGGTCTTTTTTTTCCTTTTTGCTATATTTTTATATTGTTTTTACTTTTATTCCTCTCTTTACATTTATGTAATTTTATTTATATAATTTTTCTCTATTTTGTAATATTTTATATCTTGCTCTGTTCTTTTCCTCTTTCTCAGATTCTTTCCTTTTATTAAATTTTGATTCTCTCTTCCTTCCCCTGCTTCCTCCTTTATTTCATTCTTTTATTCTTATTA